AGGAGGACCAACTAATATAGCAGATTCACATCATGGTTCAATCAATCATGATTTTCATAGTTTTAGATGTTAGGGTGGCTGAGATAATAAATGATTCCCTTGTCTTCACCAAAATAATTTTTATTTGCACAAATGCAGGTTTTTTTTTTTTTTTTGTGTGTTTTTTTTTTCGGTCTAAATAGTGTACTCCAATAAAACTTCAGAAATTGCTTAACTTAAACCAATAAAAAATCAGTCAATATTAAGATGATTTATTATTTAACAAGAAAAAACATACAAAACAAAACAATAGCTACCAAAGCAAGAGGGGAGTGCCTGGCACATTGACACTTTTATTTAATTTCACACTCTATTTTTAAATTTGGTCAAAAATGTCATCTATTTTAAAAGAAATGCTTCCTAAGAGTACCAGTACCAGTACGAATGCTCTATGTACATAAATATTAATATATTTATTTAGTTATTTTAATAAATTATAAATACTAAAACCATAGTTATAACTTTAAATTATTCAAATGCAACACACACACGTGTGCATTGTTAATTTAATAATAAGATAGCAAGTGGAAAAGTTAGACCCCACCTTTTTACATTGGTGGTTATTGTATTGCAGGAATTGGGTAGTTACTAATTTTTGTGGTATTCACTTGCATATTTGGTGTTTTTTTATCATTAAATGATTACATCTGCTAACATGTTTTAACCGTTGCATTGAATATTTTCTCCAAGAGTAAGGCCGTTAGATTAGTGAGTTCCGTTAATTTTATTTTGAAAGGACCCACTCGTCTAAGGTCTAAATTCATTTGAAATGTAACTTAGGATCCCAAATATTACATGGCAAGATGGAAAAAGAAAATGTAGTTAAAATGAACGGATAAAATCATTGAATCACAAGGTAATATTAAATCTAAAGGTTAAACTCAAACACCAGGATTTATAACCCCAAGTATATATTTTTTAAATTTTTTGATAGTAAGTCATCCATGCAAATATTAGAGGGAGACTCAGTATTATAAAGTTTTACTCAAGGACCAAAAATTCATTTAAGTGCATTGTTACGGTCACTTAGCAAATGCACATATTTCGACCAGTTTCGATAATAGAATGAAAAAAAATAAAAAATTTAAAAATTATTTTTCAAAACATTGGTCTAAATTACTAAAATATCTTGAAATATTTCGAAATAATTATGCAAATACATTGAAATATAACAAAACATTTCAAAAGTTATGAAACACCTCGAAGTATTAGAATTTCGATTTCATCATTGATTTGTTTCGATCTTCTTAAAAATAGAAACGTTTCGAATGTTTCGACCATTTCGAAACGATATTTTAATTCTTAATTTTACTTTAATTTATGATAAATAATTTATCATTAATAAAAATTATACGAAAAAAATAGATTGACGGGATTCGATTCTCCTCGTGAAATATTTAGGGGCTGGTTGTTGCAAGGGTATGGGCTGGTCTATAGAAGATGGGTTTAAAAAAATAGACCCATCCCTTACCCAATCCCTTGTTTGGATGCAAAAATTGAAGATTGGACTGAAGTCCTCGCCTGGACTTGGCCCAACTTCTTAAACCCATGAAAGTGGGTTTTAACCATCCCAGGGGGAGGGGTTCGAAGAGCCAAACTGGTTTGGAATGAAAGATTATATTTGTACCCCCTCTTGGTTTGGAATGAAGGATTATATTTGTACCTCCTCTAAACCCATTTCTTGTCTACCCTATGAATGTACCATAACTTGTTGGTTTATTAAAACAAATATTTGAGTTTTGTGAATGCGAGACACAGCATGATCCCCATTTGGGTGCATCATTATGCTGTGTCATTTAACAAAATCAACTTCAAGCATTAATTTTCCCAGGATAATTAAAGATATAATTTATTTCTGCATGTACAATTGTTTTGTATATTTCGGAATGTTGAATGCTATTTTATAAGAACGTTTTGTAATATTAATTTTTGAACTATATAGAAAAAAAAAAATTTATTGTGGTTATGCAAGATACATAACATTTTTATTAGTATTGATGTTTGACATTATAAGTTGGGAAAAAAAAATCCCAAAATATTAAGTTCGTAAGTTAACTAAAACAAAAACAAATGATTCAAATAAATATGAATTTGGATTGGATTGGTCAATGGACAAAATAGTTATTTACGTGATCAATGTATGATTATAATGGTGATAAATTTGGGAGTCCCACATATGTACATGCTGCTTATCAAACACGACTATAGACCGTGTTTATCTTTTAGGGCATGTGTTGTTTCGAGTATAAAATTTATGTAGTATAAAGTTTTTATATCCATTCCATTATAATCTAATAGTATATTATACTCGGTGTTAAACTATAATTCTATCATTCTCCTTGTTTGTTTATCACAAATATTATCTGTATAATACCTACTTAAAAAAGTTAACAACTGCGGTTAACCAATGTAAAAGACAATTTTAACCTTTAAAAAGTTAAAAATTACGGCTAGACTTTTATATGCGAATTATACCGGAGGGTATTTCAGTATTTTTAGTTTATAATACCTATACCAAGAATATAATACTATCCCCTATGTGATATTCATTAAAACTTTATACAAGGCATTATGACTACTGTTCATAGCAGGTCGGTATTACGATTCGAAAAATAGTACTGACTATAAAATGTTAAACAAACAACGTATAAGATGAGTCTTATGTACTATTTTCCTAATACCACCTCTTTATACCACACTAATACTCAAAACAAATGGCCCCTTAAAAGATTAGATTCGGAAAGGTTTGGATTGGTTTGATAAAACCAGTTTAATCCCTCAACCAAATTCCATCCAACACAAGTTAATTTCTTATTGGAACGCTATTTGTACGTAAAATGTTGATCTAATCACTCATAATTATCAACTTAATAGTAAACTTCAATAAATATTAGGATCCATTATTAAATCAATTATAATAATCGATAAAGACAACAAATCATGATAAAGTTTAAAGTCCAACTAACATACCATACCAATCCCGATCCCAATCCCAATCCCCATACCCCAAACCCGAATCTAGAAACCCTATTCTGAACCATAGAAACCCTAATAACAGAAAAAGTGGGTCCCACAATACTGTCACCCAAACTACCAATTTCAGGGCGCCCAAAAAACCAAAAAAAAGATAAACATAACCAAGTCCGGTGAAAAAAAAACCATCAATTTCTTCCTCAACCCACAGATACACTGCATAACTGAGTATATAATGTGGGAAAAATGACACTTTCATCCCCCTAATTATGCCTTGGTCTTATTTTTCCCAATTAACTATAAACCGAACTAAATGAATTGTTCGCACATTTTCCCAAATTAAAGTCTCTCATGTTATGTTTTGAACAAGAAATACCACGTGTGTAGTTAAAAATCACTATTAGTTGGTATTTTTATTTATACATAAATGAAGATAGATGCATTCGTCATAGTTTCAACATTGTGACAAACCCATGTCAAATATATAGTAGATTTGTGCAATTAAGACCTTAATGTGACTTGATTTTGATTACGATGTATGATGATGAAAGGAATTTATTATCAATCTTAGAGTCGACAAACTTTTTTAATATAAAAAAATAAGCTTAGTTTACCAATCATCAACACTCCTGACCGCATGACAAATCATTGGAACAATGCAAGGCCAATAACTTTGTAATGCAATACAAAAATTATAATAATTGAAGGCTGTATTGTAAGGTTAATAACCCTAATTAGAGGTATAATGTAAAAAATATGATAGTTGAGAGAATAATATAAAATATGAGACATAATTGAGAGGTCAAAGTATAATTTAACGTATTTATATGCCCAATTTTCTTTTTAATTTTTCTTAGAGAGAGAGAATGAGAATCAAGAACAAGTAAATATTCGATGTAACGGTGATACTATCTAATTAAAAAATTAAAAATAGATAAAGTGAGTTATATTATTTTCATAATTATCAATAATCATTGCTTTTAATCAATAACTGGTAGGATTAGTGAGACCAACTTTATTTATTTGTTGTCTTTAATGATAATACTATTCTCAAAAAAATAAAATAAAATAATAATATCATATGATACAATGTCACCGTTGCAACGAATATTTTCTCCTTGTTTGCATATCTCCTGCTCACTGTTTTTACAATAAAAACTCAAAATAAATCGGCAAAAATAAATTATATATATATATATACACATAACATGGATACATAAGTAGTATAATTGTAATTTATTTTATTTCCGCCTATGCTCTCTCTTTCTCTCTTCCTTCTCGTTCTCTCTTCCCTTCGCCAATTGACAAAGCTCTGTTCTTTGCTCCAGGTCTGTGTTTCTCATTCGATCTAAGCTTTTGATATTCTTGTTTCAGGATTTTTTAATTTTTTTTTCTTGTATACAGTTGGTTTTTTCCATTTTAGGGTTTGGTGCTCATGAGGGTATTTTTTGGGTTATTGTGTGATGATCTTTCTTTGAATTGTTTGCTCAATTGATTATTTGGGTGTTGGTTATTTTGAGTTTTAACAAATTGGATTCATGCATGCGTTTTTTTTACGGTTTTTTTTGTTGTTAGTCCGTTGATTTTTTTTTACAATCTTGATTGGTTTTGAGAGTTTTTTGAAATTGTTTGATTAGGGTTTATGGAAATTTGTGTTTCTGGATTTAGGGTTTTAGTTTTGTGGATTCTGGGAAATGGGTTTGGGAAATTCTTTGATGCAATTCTATAACTGGTTTTTGAATCTATTAGTTTGAAGAATTGGAAATATGTCGATTTTGGGGAATCTTTCAATTGTTTTTCAAAGGGGTGATATGTTGGATGTTTTTAGTGACTTGGCTTTTCAATTACTATAACCGAAGATGTATTGAGTATTGCATGTGGTGATTTTTTTTTCTTTTTAAAAGTAAGCTCAGTTTGGCAAACGGATTGATTTAGCTTTCTGTGGTGGCCTGTCAAATCGGAGTGTGGGGGGAGTTTTGGAGTGGGAAATGGCCGGGAGTGTGAGTGCGGAGTCTGGAGTTGGAAAATCTGTGGAGGGGATTTCAAGTGGGCAGCTGCATTGCCAATCTGGGGATGCATTGGTGGAATGGCGGTATTCTGAGCAGGTGGAACATGGAACCCCATCAACTTCGCCGCCTTACTGGGACACCGACGACGACGATGATGATTGTGGTATGCCGTTACTCTCCTTCAATCTTGTGTACTCTGTTAGTTTGTGTTTTTTAAGTATTTCCATTTGTTGGTCATAATGTGGCATTGCTCTCCTCATTTTTTTGACCTGTTGTTGAGTGTTCAATTCAGCTGAGTATTATGGAGTAATTTCAGACATAAGGTACTCTCTGCAGTTTTTTTTCTTTGGGATTATGTGAAGTTTTATGCTGACCAGCTTTGAGACTAGTACAGGAGAGTCATACTACCTAAGGGTTGAATATGAATGAGATGGAGCTGCCAGGTGCTCCAGTTGACAATTACATGTTGGCTGTGACTAGCAAGTAGCTTGAAAAAAAAATTCCAACTTGTGTGTACATACTACATATTACTACTTATTAGAGTTTGAAACACACAGTACTTTACTAGAGCACCATATTTTTCATGGGCAAAGGACCTTCTCTTATCATATTGTTGCAATATTATCAAATCTTTTGGGTGGAGTCATTAAATCCACTGGGTTTAGTCAAAAAAAAGTGTGTTATGCTTATATAGTTAAGTCATTGCCTAACAAATTTTTTCCTTGTCTAAGAATCCTTTCCATTTCTGGTTTTTGGGGAAACTTTATGGTATTATGTGTCCCAACATAAATTATACCATGGAGAAGAAAATAGATAAAGCAGGGAAGAATGGAATCTCATACTGAACGGGGAAAGAAACTCAAGTTATTTTGGAAGTATTGTTGAGGCTGATGTGATTAAATTCAGTGAATATGTCTTCATCTGGAATGTGGATAAAGATGTTGCTTGGAGCAGTTACCTTCATTTCAATGCGATAATATGTAATGAATAAGAAGAAAGGAGGTGTTTTTTGTGCAAGCTCTCTTGCTGGCTGATTAGTCAGTTTACCTGTTAGTTGATGCGTATGTAGGAAATGAGTACAGATTTTGTAGCCAAGCTGGCTTCCTAGCAAGAAGCAACATTTGAGTGTTGTCAAGTTTTGCATTACAATTGAAATTAATATATTACGATGGGAAAACTAGGAAATGCATAAGCACTATATTTGGGATAAATGAACCTTTGTGGGAAGCTGTTGGCTTCTGAATTAGGGGTGGCAGTTAATCAGCACGAAATAATCCTTAACTGGAAACAGATGATAATGTTATGTGCTGGTCCATTGTTCTTTGCTTAATTATTGCTCATCATCCTCTAGGATTTCCAAATTGTCTTACTGAAAGACCGGTTTAAGAATTTCATCTAGAGCAGCTGTCCAAAATAAATGATGCCATGTTTGTGTCTCAGAAATTGCCAAATCACCTTTATTGGAGCACTTTTGTCTTCTTCAGTCTTCCTCTATCCCACATCCTGATAATTCATCCATACAGAATTTTATTACTCGTTGATAGCAAGGCTTCTTTTCTTCTCCTACAACTTATCCTACTTTCTCGAGGAGTTCACCTCTGAATGTAATTTCCAATAGTTTGAATTGAAGTGCACTTTCAGAATGTTAAGTTTGGGTTAACCAGAACTTTCTCTTTGAAACATAACTATAGCCCTGTGGCTTGTGTACTGATTCTGGAATCTCTTAATATGCACCTTTTCCCCCTACTTTCTTTTTCTTTTGGTGCAAATATCAGTCTTCTTCTTCTTTCTTTCTTTCTTTTTTTTAATCTTTCATTTTCCTTGTATGCCTTTACCAAATGAATTGAATCGTTCAGTTCATAGATGTTTGGAAAACATTCTGTGAAAGCAAATAGCCTCCAGGACTCATGCGCTCCTCTCTAAATGGGGCCTGGATGTAGACTAATACTGAAGGGGCAGCCTTTTTGTGTAGGCACTTATAATAATATCCTTAGTTATCCAATTACTTTGCAGGACCAAAGCCTTCTGAGTTATATGGAAAGTACACATGGAAGATTGATAAATTTTCGCAGATCAACAAGAGAGAACTTCGCAGTAATCCATTTGAGGTTGGAGGCTACAAATGGTATGATGCTCTATAAACAAAGAATAGTTTTTCAAGCATGCTTTTTTTTTTTCTTTTTTTCTCACATGTTTTTCTTTGCACTGGTCATGTATTCTCATTCTTCAGATATGTAATCAGAATATGATGATTGTGTTATAGTTAACTTTTAGACTTTTACCCATCAGGGTTGTTCACTTGGGAAGACTGTAGTGACTCTTACCTTGAGGTCCATGTTCTGCCCTCGTGAGAGATCCTTATTTACTGGATGCATATGGTTTGCTTGTGATTGCGCATAAGTGGAGTTTGAGTTTCAACCATGAACTCAAGGGGAGTGTAGTTGGGATGGCTTTCATTGCCAGTATAAACACACACACATAGAAATCCACATTCTGATATATGGAAGCCATACAGTCTCTTAAATTATTCATAAAGACATAGATGCATGTTTGTACACACACACACACACACACACACACACACACTCTCTGAGAGGGAGAGAGAGATGGAGAGATTTAGATTTATCGATGCTGTACTGTAGCATGTGTTTCTTAAAGTGGTCATAAATCTATGTTTTGCAGTTGCAACAACTTGATTCTGTAAATAAGTTTCATTTGGTAACAGGGTTTATTGCTATTTCTTCCCTATGCATACATGAATTTCTCGTCTATTCTTCTGGTTTAAATGAATTTCTCGTCTATTCGTCTATTCTTTGGTAACAGGGCGTACTTTTGAGCTTTTACTAATTTATATGGGTGAAGGCAGAGGATTGATAGGAATTGGATTTGGAATTTGGTCCACAGATAGGCTTCTGCCTACCTGTAATACACTTGAGTGAAAGCCTGCTGTTGGTTCATGTCTCAGACAGATCGTAGTCGCATCAAATTTTATGTTTCGGGGTCAGATATTATGTTTCTGATATTTTTAATATGCTTGGGTGGGGGCCTCGTGCAATAAATTTGAGATTTGGCCTGTTGGCTCGTGCTTTGTTTTTGCTGCATCACTGTATGCAACATTTTTGTGACATTTGGTTATGGGTATTGAGTTCTCTTACTTATTTTTCAGACAATGAGGACGCCTTGCTGTCCCTATTGTAATGGCATCTTGTTTGTTCCATTTTAGATATATAGAAATGTGATATCAGTGAGATGATGCAAGTAGTTGCTGCACATTAATTTAGGCACCTTGGGATGGGTGGCAGGTACATTTTGATTTACCCACAAGGCTGTGATGTCTGCAATCATCTCTCTTTGTTTCTCTGTGTTGCTAACCATGACAAGCTTCTGCCAGGTATAATGGTATTGAATTCATCATGTGTAGGTTGGTTTGGTTTGGGTTCAAGTTGATATCATATGGTTACTCTTTGTGTGAAACAGGGTGGAGTCATTTTGCGCAGTTTACAATAGCTGTGGTGAATAAAGATCCAAAGAAATCTAAGTATTCTGGTTAGCTTGTTAGATATAGCGTTGTAATGGATTTTCTGATCGTGATGTTTTAAGCATTAAAGCACTAAACACAAAATTTTCAGATACATTACATCGGTTCTGGAAGAAAGAACATGATTGGGGGTGGAAAAAATTTATGGAGCTACCGAAAGTGTACGACGGGTTTATTGATGCTGACACTGACACTCTTGTAATTAAAGCTCAAGTCCAAGTTATTAGGTACTTTGCAAGTCATTTTTCAACAGAGCTTGTCGGTCTTTGTTTTCTGTCTTGATTTCGCTGTTGATATCAAATGCTATCTGATATAACATGTTGAGTGGATGAAATTTTGATCAGGCTTCCGTGAAAAAAAGTTTCATCCTTTAACTTTTTTGCGGTATGCTGCCTTACCCTGGTTGGTTTTTTCTCTCTTGTAGAAGGGTTATGTGATTATTTAGAGTCCCCTTTTTATCCCGTTTTGAACCTTTTGTCATTTTAGTTATTTTAATGCTTAAAAAGCATCTTCATTATAAATATTATACTGAAGTTGGCTCAAAAGTAAAGTCATTTTTTAAATTCATCTTGAGAAATGAACATCAGCCACATAAATTTTTAGCATGGGGGGAGGGGAAAGTATTGGGTGGCTGGAAATACATTTACCATGGTAGATGAGCAAGAAGTACTGCAGACCATAATTCACAACTCCTACACAATTACGAAGAACCCTTTTTGCTCCTGAACACAAGGGGAACTATTCTAGTATACTTTTTATGTTGTATGTATTGTCGCCATAATTATTGCTATAGAAGAATTATTTCCCAAGCTTAAGATTAGATGGAAGTTAATTATCATCCTCTCTCAGTGTTTAATCAATCTAGATTTTTGCATAACTGTTATATTTGTGTTCATATTGTCATCATTAGAGTTAGTATTCATGGAAAATTTTTCCCTCAAGCTTAGAATTACATGTTAGTTTATTATCATCCATTCTCCATGTTTCACCACCTAACATTCTCACGTATCACTTGCACTTCTCTCTGTCCGTCCGCATTGTTGGTGCATAGGACATAAATATCGGTATTGTAGAAACCCCTAGGCGTTAGCGTCCCACGAATTAGGGTTGCATGACCCGAAATGGTGTGGGTTTGCGATCTCAATTGCTCAAAGTCACCCCAAATTATTACTCAAACCGCAATTGATTCATGATCTAAGTAATCTCATATCATAACCCCAACTCTAAATCATAACTCTTAACTTGTTATTTCTTTATTTTGGTGTTCTTTAAACTCATACTTTGACTACATTTATCAGAAATATAAAATAAATATTTATTGACTGTGTATATGCATATGTTGTTTTGTTTGGAAGTTACACAACGAACTATGACCCAAAATAGCGTACCAATTAGGCTTAACCCCATTGTATCGCGTATTGGAAGAAGTATTGTACCTCATACCCGTACTACGTACCAAATCTATCCGCGATCCAGGTAGCATACAGCATGACTGTTTTGAATATGGCAAACATGGCCCCACAGAACTATTGTTTACAATGCCTTGTGCCCTTGCTTTTGTCCCAACAGTTATTCTAAGTACTCTTGTTTATAACGTCTGCCCTTAACTGTCTTCCTCATAAACTCAGGCATAACTCGAGGTTTGCCTTTTGCACCTCTTTTCACCTTCTTTCATGGGGCATATGACTCATGATTAGCTAATGGCTGCATATAGTATTGCCGGACAACTTATTACTATTAATAGTATTTTGTTATCTTCGCATATTTATTCATGTGTTTTTATTGAACCTAGAGGTGGAGCTGCCCCCACTGACTTTTGAGGAAGTCTGTATGTTTACTATAATGAAAACATCAGTATGTTTAATTTATTCCATTGCCCCTTAAGGATTTTGAATATTTGTATAGTGGCCCTGGTCTCTTTTCTTTTCAGTAAGTTAGGGGTCCACTTCCCCTCTAACCTACCAAAACATTTTTTTTTTGTGTTGAGTAAAACACATGTGAAATGTGCTAACTTGTATATATTGACCAAACAAAATACCATTGGCATTTAATGCACCATCTCTTTTATTTTAGGAACGTGATATTTTTTGGTAAGTTAGTAGTTCGAAACACAGTAATACACGAATTGATGCAAGTGGTAAAATATGCTAACCCACATGTGTTTTTGCTCTTCCAAAAAAATCATTTTTTCAACAAAACGGATGAGGGACTCAACTAGGTTTCACAACAAGGTAAATGATGATTTTTTACGGACTCTTTGATTGGGTACATTTAAAATATTACTGAGAAATTTAGCATAGAGTTGATCAATTATAGATGATTCTTGGGATTTGTATCAGCGTCGTCTTGTACTAATTTAATATATGATTGTGTTGAAATGTGATATTAAAAACTAATTGTATTTGTTTGTGCACATTTTGTTAATGCTAAATTGATACTACTTTTAATTTTCATAGTTGTGGATCTTAATATATTTCTCATACTTATGAATTTCTTAAAACGAAAATAACACCCAATCTAGTCCTTGTTCATGAAGGTCTGGAAATTTTTTAATACCAGCTGATTAATTTTTTCCATTCATGTTTTCATCCCCGCTGAAATAGAATCCTTGCTCCACCACAGATTGAACCACATAATCATTGTGTTTATTTTTATGGACAATCTTCTTGTAAAATAACTAATAAGAAGTAGTACTTTTCTTTAGTATGTTGTTCTGGTATTGTATAACATGTTTTCATTTGATATTTATTCATGCAAATTGACTTGCAATATCACTAAATGTTCTAAATTCTCACATTTTATATTTTTTTATTGTTTGTAATAATTTTAAACTTTCAGTTTTTTTAGCCTTTTCTATATGTTATCGGTAGGGGTGTGCACCCTACCCTACGGTAGGAATTAAGGTATTCTATCTTTCTACCTGATACTTTGTGGAAGAATTTTTTCTTGGCCTACTCTACCCGATCAAATGTACTATTCCTACCCGAATTCTACCCAAAACAATCGAGTGAACACATTTTTAGTTATTTATTTTGGATAATTTTAACAATTTAATTAAGTAAACCTGCACCAATTAACTAATACACTGGTCCAACGTTGCTTGATTATTTGCCTTTTAAAGCTATAGTTTGGACCAGTGTTTCATTGGCTTGTAAATATCTATTTGAAAGGTTGTAAACGTCTTCATGAATGTAACTTTTTGTGTCTCATACAGATCGATACATTTCTTCCTCTTGCTATGACCTTGATTCTAATTTCTAAAGAAAACTTACTTGTTTTGGATTTTTGAACATAAATTCATTGTTACAATAACCAATTCCAACTTATGCTGTTGGTTTGTAGGGAGAGAGCAGACCGTCCCTTCCGTTGCCTTGACTGTCAGTATAGACGAGAGCTTGTTCGGGTTTACTTGACAAATGTAGAGCAAATTTGTCGCCGTTTTGTGGAAGAGAGAAGAGGCAAGCTTGGAAGCTGATAGAGGATAAAGCTAGATGGGCAAGGTAGAGGATGTTGGTTTTCATGCATATTGTTCCACGGGTGAACATATACATTTTTGAAATATATGGTTGTTGGAGTGGCTCAAATCAAATGCTCCTTTGGTTCCTATTATCATTGATTCTTACATAGTTCTGGTTTCTGTTGTCTTGGCTGTTTTTTGAGTGAGTCAGAATGTTGGTTTTATTGTCATTATTGTTACTTAATATAGGACATTTTCACAACATGCACATCAGGAAAAACATATGATACTTGATGCCTATTATCATTGATTTGTTGTCTGCCGTCTATAAACAATTTCTTTTCCTTCTTTTTACCCTGTCCAGCCATGCTTTATCTTTTGCTGTTATATATCTTCAGATTTGATTATCTTTTCATATATTTCAATATACAAACAGTAAGTTGTGATAATTTCAGCTTCTGTGCATTCTGGCTTGGAATGGACCAAAATGCTAGGCGTCGCATGTCCAGGGAGAAAGCAGATTCAATATTGAAAGTTGTTGTAAAACACTTCTTTATAGAAAAGGAAGTGACATCTACTTTGGTAATGGATTCCTTGTATAGTGGACTGATGGCTCTTGAAGGTCAGACTAAGAGCAAGAAAGGTAGAGGGAAATATTTGGAAGCTGAAGAATTACCGGTTCCTATAGTTCACACAGAGAAGGATATGTTTGTTTTGGTGGATGATGTGCTACTTTTGCTTGAGAGGGCTGCCATGGAACCCTTGCCTCCAAAGGATGAGAAGGGTCCTCAGAAACCGTACAAAGGTGAGCAATGCAACATGCGATTGTTAATTTTGTTTCTTTTTAGTAAACTTGATTATGTCTCTTTGCTTGGGTAGTATCTCTAGCCAACCACAAAGGGGTAGGTGCTGGGCTGCAAGTAGCTGATTGAACAGGGTGATTCACTGGGGGCCGCGCGTTTACTACTGGTTGTTATAGTCCTAACAGAAGTAGTATATTTGGTTACTGCTTGATGGAGACCATAAATAGCTGAGTGTATTGTTTTCGGCTTGTGAACTTGCAAGGCCATTATGAAAGATGGAAACGATTGAGGGCCTTTCCACCTTAAGCTGATCCGTTTCTCGTCAAATAAAGGAAAAGAAGATAGAGGGTAATATATTGTAACCAAGCAGGGTTGGGAATCTGGTGTCTGCTTTTGTCATGAAAGTGTGATATTTAAAAGAATTAAAAAAATTTATAGAACGCTGGGGTATAGTATGTATCATAGAGCAGAATCTTTGGAACTTGACAAATGACGTGATGTTGCAATGATGAGGTTTGGATTGAATTATGAGTATCCTGGATGGTCAGATTAGAAATATTTCAGGTTGCATGTTGAGAAATTTAGGAGTCGAGCAGAAAGTGATAAAGGGAATGGAATAACATTTTACAATGATTTGATTTGGTTAATGATAGGTAATGACTTGAGTGAGACACATATTGTTCTATTTAATTTAATAATAGTGTATTCTGATTAAGATGCTATATAGTGTGTTGAAAATATGGCTGGGTAGTGGATATGTTAGAATGCCAAAAAAGTTAGGATTAGTTTTGTGCTTATTTTTCTTTTGTGGATCCTTTAAAAAAAGTAGAATGCGAAGATAAC